TTTGAACTGCAAAGTCAGTGGTTCATGCTCACCAGCTGCTCCTTGGGAGCTCTATACAGGCTCTCTGTGGGTCAGAATAGACTCAACGGACTTAACAACAACAACAACAAATATGTATATATATATATATGCTATTGTTAAGGAGCTCTGGTAGCGTAGTGGTTACGAATCGGGCTGTGAACCTTAAGGTGAGCAGTTTGAAACTACCAGCTGCTCTGAGGGAGAAAGATGAGGCGTTCTGCTCCCGTAAAGATTTACAGCCTTGAAAACCCTGTACAGGGTCGCTATGGGTCGGCACCGACTCGACGGCACTTAACAACAACAACAACATGTTATTGTTAGGTGCCATCGAGTTGGTACCAACTCATAGCGACACTATGCACCACAGAACGAAATACTGACTGATCCTGGGCCAACTTCACTATTGTGGCCACTCTTGAACTCACTGATGCTGCCACTTTGCCAATCCATCTCACTGGGGGTCTTCCTCTTTATCTCTGACCTTCCACCCTAGCAAACATGATATCCTTCTCCAGCAACTAGTACCTCCTGACAATATGTCCGAAGTATGAGAGATGAAGTTTGGTCATCCTGGCCTCCAAGGAGCACTATGGCTGTACTTCTTCCAACACAGATCTGTTTGTTCTTTTGGCAGCCCATGGCACTTTCAGTATTCTCCTCCATACCATAATTCAAAAGCATCAATTATCCTATGGTCTTCCTTATTCACTGTCCAGCTTTTGCATGCATATAAGGTTATTGAAAATACCATGGCTTTGGTCAGGTACACCTTAGTCCTCAAGCTGACATCTTTGTTCTTCAACACTTTGAAAAGGTCTTGTGCAGCAGATTTGCCTAATGCATTAAGTCATTTGATGTTGCATCTGACAATTGGCTATACTCTGTGACCTGCATGGAGAGATTAAACCCGAGTAGAGATGATGGGAGATTCGGAAAAAAAAGAAGACACAGACACAAAATGAAAATAGTAACGTTAGGGCCAGATGGGACATAGCACACTGATGGAGATACTGTGACTCAGACCTAGATTCATCAAGTTTATTATATACACATATCAAAGGAGGTGCTAGGGGCAGGGAAAAGAATAACATCTGGTGTGTTGATGCACGCATGCAGTAAGTGGGACTTTATCAGAAGAATGTAGTTGTAAGGAGAACAGAGATAGGACAGCTAGATGTTTTTGCAGACTAAGCTGAAGACCATGGCTGCATAGAAGGAAGCACTTTGCAAATTCCTTCTTCCATGAAGCAGGCTTTGCAAGTTCCTAAGGGAGCAGCCTGACCTGGGAGCAGCCTGACTTTTTTTTACCACAACTGTTTAGTTGTAATCTTTTAGTTAAACTGCCTCCAAGTCTGAGAACTTTGGTTCAAATTGTTCCCAACAATTTGAATTCTTGACTGCTGCTTCCATGAGTGTTGATAGTTGATCCAAGAAAAATGAAGTCCTTGACAATTTCAATCTTTTCTCTGTTGTTAAGAATGTTGTATATTGGTCCAGTGGTGAGGAATTTTGTTTTCTTTACATTGAGATGCAATCCATACTGAAGGCTGTGTTCTTTCATCTTCATCATATATATATAATGTGTATATACACGTATATGTATATATATATATATATATTTGTTGTTGCTGTTGTTATGTGCCGTGGAGTCGGTTCCGACTCACAGCGACCCTGCACAGGGTTTCTGAGGCTGTTAATCTTTACGGGAGCAGAACGCCTCATCTTTTTCCC